CACTCCTTCCCACAGCAGCCTGCACAGCACTCCCTCTCACACCTCCCTGTGCCCACCAAACAGCACTACCCTGGCTGTGTCCAGCGTGCAACGCTTCCCAGCAAAGCTGCTCCCAGGGTGACTGCAACAACCCAGGTATTTCTTGACTCCCCCTGCCTCCAGTGGCTCCTCCTCCTCCTCCTATCCTTGCTGCACCACTCAAGGCAGCAGGCAGAGAAGGCTAGCCATGGGAATATGTGCCAGGCAGCAGATGCCAAGCCAGGCAGGAGGGAAAAACCAGCCAGGCAGCTCCTGTCCCAGAGCATGAGACTCCAGCTTCATCTCCCAGGTGCCTTCCACCCATTCAGCTGCCCACTGCACCTGCACCTCCTGGGCAAACTCTGCTGCACAGGCCCCCAGCCCCCACTCCCGCCCCCAGCCAGCTCCCAGGACCTAGAAAACACCCCACATACATGTGCATATCCAACCCCAATTTACACCCCACACACATCCCACAAGCACATCCCCACCACACACACTCCATTCCTTCCCACACCCCCACACCCTCACATATGCCACACACTCCACCCCCCACACCCTCCCACACACAATATACAAAAGTAAGACTTTATTTTGAGCTGTTATGCAATCACTTCTATATACACTACTCAAAAAAACAAATCACAAGTTGGACAAAAATTATTTTTTGAAATAAAAATATGTTATAGTAAATGTCTGATTTTTAGTATATGATTTTTTTTTATCTGTAATTTGTTACAATGGTATCTTCTGAAGGATTTTGTTTGTGCAGCCCTCAACAGCTCACCAAAACTCGTTAAGTGGCCCTCTAGCCGAAATAATAGCCCACCCCTGCTCTAATGATAGAGAAACAGTAAATGGGAACTTGAGAAATCTTTCATTTTATGGAGCATTAAGCAGAGTCAATGACATACCCATGGTATTCACCTAAGCCACTGTTCTTTTTTTAGGAACTAATCTGCATAATTGGCCTTGATTTGTGGGTCTCATGCCAAATTCTCCCACTCATCCCAACTGATAAATACAGCATGCTAATGCAAGTGCCAGTTGTTTGCTGGCCTTTCTGCTTTCCCGGGAACAATTGCTTTGTTCCCCTAAAAGAAATTTTTTCTGGCTGTTGCTGTGGCAAGGACAACCTGTACCCACTGTTCCTACAAACCTCTCCAAATGTTTGGGGCTCCAAGAGTGAATAAAATAAATGGAAGTGAGCCACAAAAAGCTTTTGAATGTTCATGGTACTGAGAAGCAGAGTGCAGTATGTTATACTTACCTTAAACAAATTCAGTCCTGTTAATTTCAGGTAGTCTCTCCAATTTGTTCAGATCATTTTTAATTCTGATCTATTCTTCAAAATGCTTGTAACTCCCTCCTTCCCATTTTACTGTCACCTGTAAATTTTACTTTTATATTGGGGCTTAGTTTATAATGGTCTCCACATTTGTGTTCTAAAGGAAAAGCCGTTTTGAACAAAGCAGGTGATTTTCTTAACTAAAAGTGCTAGTTTTACATCACTAGACGCTAACATTTTATTAGAATTTTATTTTTCATTACAGATTTTCTTCCATTTTAAGTAAAACCAAACAATTTGAAAGTTCTAATATTAATTTTTCTAAAATATTTTTCAAGTACTCTGTTTTCCATTTTTCTGTCTGTACTTTGGTGTGGCGTTTCAAAGTCATCAGGTCACTGGTTAAGTTGCTCATGTACATGTTAGCATAGACACAATTAAATGGACATCTCGCACTAAGCAGGAGACAGGGAAAATCACCTCTGCAGTTTCTACAACTGCCCTGTTGTTTGCAATAGCAGCTTTAGAAGCACAAGAGAGGAATGAGATCTCAAGGATATAGCCAGCCTTTTCAAATTTGTATAGTATCTTCTTATTCCTTCTCCTTCACATGTCTCCTTCACGTGTGTTCATCTGCATGCAGCACAAATCTGTGATGCAACAGCCAAAATATTATACTGAGGCATGCATATCCCCATGGGTTATTTTCCAAAAAATCTTATTTTCATTCAATAATGGTTCCCCACCCCACCCACCCCATCCACAAAAAAGTAGTATAATCTTCTATATCTCAAAGGGGGGGAAATGAAAATTTAGAGAGAATGTCTCATAATATTCTTTTGTTTGTATTTCTTTAATTGCATTAACTGTCTTATAGAAGAAAAGTCTTGCAGTATCATCCCAGCAGCTAGACATTCAAGTGGGTGAATAATTAGTGGAAGCTAATTAGTACAACTTATTTTCTTGTGCTCTATGAATCCATTGGGCAGATTGGAAGAGCCACTAGAAACAGAACAGCTGATCCAACGCTTCCGTGCCAACATTGTGATCAACACAGTGGAGCCTTTTGAGGAAGAGGAGTGGGCTGAGATTTCAATCGGTGCTCTACATTTCCAGGTATAGTCGGATTCCAACTGTCTTTTCCTGTTAGGTACCATCCTTCCCCTGCAAATGAAGCCATTCATTGCAAGGCTAAGTTTGAGACAAGCAAAAGAATCAATACTGGTGATGGTCATAGTTCTGCAAAGGAATGCATCTTGTGATTTGTGATATTTTCAAGTATACCCACAATGTAAACAGGCCAGTCTATCTAACTTTGTCACATCATAAAACCTTTCTCAAATCACAACATTCCCTTCTTTTCTCCAAATGAGAAACATTTTTGCCTTTATTTTTTCACATAAAATGTACAAATCCTGGTGCATTCACAAAAAATATCAGCCCAAATCCACAGAACGAGGCCCCTGATTCTTCACGCCGTCATTTTTTGAATGCCCACCTCGGGAAATAAGGTATCTTAAAATGCGAATTTGGACACACAGTTCATTTCTAGGAGTTAGAATCTTTGCTACTATCAAAGGAAGGGAAAAGAAAACACAATTTATCAGTGCACTTTGTTTTTATTTTAATGCTGTCTGACTTACAACAACATTCCTTACTTAAGAGGTTTGAGTATTGATAAATATAAAAGAATCATTGCAAAGTAGAAGTTAATCTAAAGAATAAGATGTATTATGAACATGCATTTTTACTGCCTTTTTAATTTCTAAGTTACCTGATCATGCTATATAGACATAAATTTTAGACAACACTCTGCTGCAATGTTCCCTTAACTTATCCTTATGAGCCTTTCAATACCAGGAATACCACTCTAAGTATCTTGAGACACTGTTTGCCATATTGAGCAGCCTGTCTGTGTGTGGCTTTTTTGTCTTGGTATTCCCTGGTCATAGTGCATCTTTTTCTTTTTTTGTGTGTATATGTATATAAAATTTGTATGAATGTGGACTATTGTCATCTTTGACTCTTGGGCAAATTGAGTACAAAGGCACAGCAGATAGATATAAGAGACTCTTAGAAATTCAGAATTCTAAGTGTTATTTCTCTCTCCTAATTTGTGTTGTTTCTTCCTAATTTTGTCAACAATTGTATTTATTTTCTTTAATGAACATTATTGATCAGAAGAAATAGGTTGTGTTTATGAACAGAAAGATGGAAAGATTTTATTATTTATTTCTATTTTAACATTGAAAGAGAAGGTTCTTAAACCATTTTATCTAAACTGTAGCTGTGATGTACTACAGTTATGAGATGAGAACATTACATGAAAAATATGCATTACTTGGTTTCCCTATTAATTTTTGCAATATAAGTGGGACTGAAGGGATTAATTTCTTTTCTGAGACAGGGAATAAGAGATGGGTGCTAGTAATGGATGTGTCTCGTTTCATACAAATGAACTATCAAGAACTTTTATATATGAATGGAGGACCAAGGGTGTGAAATATAAATATTCATCAGCTCCTCTGTGGTAAAGGTCTCTATGCATGCTAAGAATTAACTTACCTTAGTTTAGCTCCCATTGGATGTGTCTACACAAGATGTGTTACTGCACAGCAGACTAATTTCCTGCTCAGTAAAGCATCACCATCTACACATACACGGCAATCAGGGTGTAGTAGACTAATTTACTGCACTGCCAGATAGTCCTTTCAGATCAAGTGGTGTCTGGTAGCCCAGTAAATTACTGTGCTTAAACACATGTGTAGATGGTGACATCAGGATTAGTTTACTCTGGCTTAGGTTGAACCAGAATATCTTCAGTTGCTTTAACTGCACATATAGACATGCCCATATACTGTGAAATAAGCACCTTTGTACTTGCACAGTTACTGCAAAGCAGGTATTTCATGCTAAAGTCCTCCTGCATTGACCCAGTTGTAGAATCATAGAATCATAGAAAGCAGGGCTAGAAGGGACCTCAGAAGGTTATCTAATTCACTTTCGTGGTCAAGACAGGATCTTCCCTATCTAAACCATCCTATGAAGTTTTCTTTCTTTCTTGTGTCAAACAGCACTGCACAAACAACCCTCTTGCTCAACTACCAGACGCAATGTCTGAAAAACATCAAGAACACCCTAACTTTTCACAGGCAAAACAAGTAGATGTGGGCACTGTCAGTGTTCTCTCCCAGTGCTGCTCAGCCTTTTTGCCCAGCGGGCTGAATGGGCAGTGCCCCAGCTGTCAATGGCCAGATCTGGCTGGTCATCCTGATCTGGTGCCAAGGGTGGGCATGGCAGTGCCCCATCTGGCCATGCAGAGAGGGATGGGGCCAGCCCAGCCCCAATCCGGACCCTCAGGGGAAGAGGGCCTCACACAGTTTCTGAATAAGCAGACACTAAAGGCATATTTTTATTCCACTTATTAGATGTGGAAGTGGACTTAGGTACCTAACTTCAATCCTATTCCATCTTGCTTGAGTCCCTGAAAAACAGTTAATGCGAAAGGTAAGTGAATCCTATATGCCACAAGGGATATTTATAGGATCAGTTATCAATCCATTATCTATTCCTCATTTCATAAGCAGTCATAAAAAGGCCTAAACCCATCCCCCAATCTAGAATCATGGCTGGTTAGTAGATTTTTCCTACCCACAACTGCAAATGTTTTGTTAGAATATGCGGGATGGACATATATCTCATCGGCTGCTGGCACTTGTTAAGCACGTTTTGCAACTGAGGTCTGAGGAATGTTGTGCCCCACTCTCAGAATAGCCAGATGTGCATGGCAAGTTGTATGATTCTGGGAATGGAGCATAAAATTCCTCAAACCCTAGCACTGAGACTGGGAGCTGCCAGGGACCAGTGCAAGGGGGTACCTTTACCCACTCTTGAACTGATGCATCCACAAGCACCTGGGTTCTTTGAGTCCAGTGTTTAGGAGCCTTACTCTGATGTCAGGCTCATGGCGTCCCGGATCTTTAAGGAGCAGGCATGCAGCTGGGAGCCTGGGCTGAACACCCTCCTACTTTAAGTTTTCTGGGTGCCATAAGCCTAACATCAAGTAAAGGCTCCTCATGATGCAGCTGGAGATAAAGGAACTCTCCCAGCCCCTGCTGCTTATGCCAAGTTAAAGGGGCACCATCACTGTAATATGGTTATATAATTTTAATTGTATTTGTATATATAATCATATATGTAATTGCAGTCACCATCACGGTAATATGAGGGAGCTAGCAGGGGTTATTGCAGGGCCCTTGGCATGGCTTTACGAGTGCTCGTGGTGTTCGGGCCAGGTGCTAGATGATTGGAAGATAGCTAATGTGGTCCCCATTTTTAAAAAAGGGAGGAGGGAAG